CAGTGGCTCAGGGGTTGAGCGGCGACCTAGGAACCAGGAGGTTACGGTTCGATTCCTGGTCAGGGCACAGGCCTGGGTTGCGGGCGCCATCCCCAGTAGGGGGCGTGCAGGAGGCAGGTGATCCATAATTCTCATCACTGATGTTTCTCTCTCCCCCTTCCTCTCTGAAATCAATAAATATCATAAAGAAATAAAAAGGTGTAAGGAAGGAGACAGAGGGTGGGCCAGGGCGAGAGACCCAGGGATGCGGGGGCCTCGGAGCTGGAGAAGCCCAGGGAGTGGCCCTGCTGACACCTTGGTGCCAGCCCACAGGACACCCTCCAGGCTTCCGAGCTGCAGAACCGTGAGTCCATCTGCGTTATTTTCAGCCACGAAGTCTGTGCTGTAGGCGGAGGCTGGCTGCCCCCTCCCAGACCATCCCTGGAGCCTCCCCCAGGGACTGAACTAACATGCTCCCCGGGCGCTGGCCCCCACGGGAGGGAGGGGCCTCAGAACTGGCTGGGCTGGGGCCTCACTCCTCGCAGGCCCAGCCTGGAGGTCGGGTGGGGGAAGCAGAGGCCGAGCGGGGACACCGTCTGGCTGTGGTCGGAGAGGTGCACTGACTACGCTGCAGCCTCATCAGGTGGCTGTTGGAGGAGTTGCTGGTCCCCTGTCCAAGGTCCCTGGTAACCCTTGAACTCAGTCTCTCCCGTCGCGGCCACACACCCATCTAACCCCCCATCCACTGAGGGGTGGTCCCTGTGGTGGGGGTCACTCACAGCAGCTCTGACCAGGAGCGATGGGGGTCTTTGGCCATCCACCATCCTCTAAGCCCGGGCACCCGAGGGCCTGGCATTTGGGCAGCTCCCAGCTGGGAGGCCAGCCGTTTCTGGCCGGCCCCTCCACCCACCAGCAGGGCCCAGGCGGGTGCACCATCTCCCCGTGCAAATACAGGTGGCTCCACGGCAGGCCCGGCTGGACGCGGAGGGTGCCGAGGCCCTGCCTGGCTGAGCTGGCCTCAGTCCCGAGCTTCCCCTCTGTGTGCATCGTACTGGGAACTGTCTCCCAAAAGGCGGACCAGTCTCAATCCCCGCTATCTGTGAACCTGACCTCGCTGGGGAATAGGGTTTCTGCAGATGCAATAAAGCTAAGACAAGGCCACACTGGAGTGGACGCCAGCCCAGTGGCTGGTGTCTCCCTCAGACGCTCCCTCAGACACGCAGAGAGAAGGCCCCCAGGAGAAGAGGAGGCAGAAACTGGGCGATTCAGCCTTGGTGAAGCCAAGGACTGCCAGGCCTCCAGAGCGGGAGGAAAGCAGGGGCCCCTCCCCGGAGCTCTGGGAGCCCGGCCCTGCCTACGCCTTGATCTTGGACCCCAGACGGTGAGAGAGTCAAGTTCTGGTTCTGAGCACCAAGTTTGTGCTAATTTGTTCAGCAGCCCGGAACCGAGTCCGCCTGCCCACCCTGAGGGACGCCCCGGAGTGGGCGGCACCCACACCCGACTCAGCAGCTGTGGGCTTGTCCTGGCCCCGGGAGTCTGAGTGTCTCCACGGGGGTGCATTAGGCACCGTGGACAATGGGTGTCCCCTAAAAGGCGAGGCCTTTGGGAAAGTGGATGCAGAGTGCAGGGACGTTGCCAATGTTACTCGGGGACAGAGCGGCAGTCCCTCCTAGAGGAGCCCCAATCCCTTCTCCATGGACAGGCACCCCGGCCCACAGACACGGCATTGGGGCTGGGAGGGTCCTCTCACGGTCACCTGGGCCTGAAACCCTTGCCAGCCAGACCCTGGGGGTGCGATTCGGGTCTCCAGCCGCCCACCTCCGGGAGGCCTCATCCTGTGGCTGAGCAGAGCTGGCCTGCTCCTCGGGGGACCCTCCCCGCAGTCAGGCCCCAGGCGCGGGCTCTGCTATTCCCATCCATCACCTGTAGCATCTCCTGGTTCTCACCTGGCCACTCCTCCATCCTCAGACCCTGCCCACTCCCCTCCTGGGCGCCCCTTCCCAGCCAGACCCCACTCTCATCTGTGCCCTGACATCGAGGTCCAGGATGGGGTCCATCCCGGGTTCCAGGTGAGCGAATGGGAGGTAAAAACCACGCCTGGAGCAGAGGGGCGGGAGCAGCCGAGTGACCGGCCGCACAGCAAGGACGGCGGTGTTGAGGGGCTGCTGGAGGCCGGC